GAGATTCCCGGCTTGACTGTAGGCGAGTTGCTCACGAAGGAAATCTTTCACAGTCGCGAAGATGTTGTGACGATAGAGCCGAAAGAGGGTATCGATATAACGTTTCCTGATATCCTTGTGAAAACTCTCTTGCGTGAAGTCTGTTGTGGGTAGGTACTCCAGTCGTTGGCTCATGATCTCTCCATACGTTGGTAGGATTTGGATATCAGAAATTGCTAGAAAATCATTATCGTGACGACCGCCGGGCTTGGCTTTGGCGCTCGGTATCACAAGCTGCGGTTGCTTGATACGAGGAGGGAGTTGTGGTGTGTGGTCTGTGTGTATGTTTCCAATGGCCGCCGCGGTGCCAGGAGTGGCCGGTCCGTGTGTATTGCGCGTTGTCTGCGCAACATCAAGAACCCTCACTGACGAGAATGTGTTCAGCATTTTGCAAAGTGCTGATGAGCGGTTGTCATGTTTGAGGGGTGGGTATCGGTTGAGCAGCTGCTCAAGCGCTTTGGCTGTCAAGTGAACCAAGCTGTGGATTTGCTGTCTCAGCTTACGGTTGAACGAGTCCGGTAAGTTTTTTCAACCACTCGATTCCTTTTACACCGTCCTCCTTGCCGATAATGGTGTAGAGGAGTCCAAGGTGGTCGTTGGGCGCGGTTGGATGGCTGATTAGTGAAGGGTGTGTCACGACTTTGAGTAGGGCTTCGTAAAGCGCCAGCCTATGCGTCTGGTTGTCATGGTTCGCTGATGTGAGTATCGTCCGGCCAATAATGAAGGGCCCTCCTGTCTTCTCGTCAACCAAGTCGGCGAGGAGGCGGGCATGTAGCTCGCCACTACCTGTTTCGAGAAGATCGTATCCTGCTGTCCAGATTTGTCGAAGGTGGTCGGGGCCTAATTTGCTATCCTTGCGACACTCTAGAGATTTATTCCAGCGGTTATACGCTGCTCTTTGTTCGCGCGAGGAGGGCTGAGCTGCTTGATTTTCAAGGAGTTTTGTCTGGTGAGCGTGACTCTTGGATTGCTGGCCTTGGTTGTGACTGGTCGCCTGGGCGGCTTTTTTGCGTGCCTTTCGACATGACTTGAGTAGTAGCCCTTCAGTGGACCAAGCTACATGAGCGTTGGTGAATTTACTATGGGGAATGCTTAAGGTGGGATGCCGACGAGAAGGAAGCTGGGCAACGAGATTTGTGCGACGACCTGAGCGGAGGGAAGAATTGAACGGAAGATTATGGATGAAGGGACGTGGGAAAAGTGGACCACATCGAAATGGGTGAAGGGACGCTCGAAATCAAGGTCCAGCTACTTCACAGATCATCCTCCACCATGGGTAGTCGGGTACCAACCAAAGTAGCGGTTTTTCGTTTGTTTTTCGCAGATTTTTCTCCATGTGAGGCATTGTAGGCCTCAGTGCATCGTGCACGTCGTGCAATGCCGATCATGTTGCTGACGAGAGGCAGCGGCGTTGAAGAACGGCCATTTCTCGCCTGGTTCTTTATCCCATTTCGTATCCAGATCGTTGCGACTGCCAGAGACCTGTGACTGATGCCGTTACTTGCCTGCTCGCCCGACGACCGTAACTGGGTCGAGCACCAAATGATCGATGGAGGCCATATGAAAAGAAATGGAAATGGTTTTCTTTGTATGCAGCCTTGCCACCAAACGATGATGCTCTGGTATCAGTCGGTGGTCTCACAGCCAGCCGACCGGATTGAGGTATTGCAGCCGAGCGAACAAACTGAAAAACACGCCGCCAGAAGTCAATGCCCAACCAAACAGCTGTCTTGTTCGCAACATGTGTAACAGGGATTTTAGAGACATGTTACACGACAATTTGCAAACGGAACCATGTACTCAGATCCTCTTCCAAACGGCATTCACAAAAGTTGAGGGATACTGAGCTAAACTGTTCAATCATCGACTGAGCCTTGCAATGAGGAGTCAAGACAAAATAATGGTCAAAATATGGGTGTCACGTGCTCAAACACGCTTCTCAAATTCAACAATGCTCGATCGGGCCAGGCCGACTTGGCAGCGCCAGGGGAATTGCGGGGAAGCAGGCATTCGGCGGCAAAAGGTAAGCGAGAAAAGTTCAGCAGAAACGGGTGACCATTGTCAAAGATATGGGGATAAACGACTCTCCACTAGTCAATTGATCAGGTTTAAAACTGGGTCGTGGGAGCTTGGGCTGGTTGGTGACTTGGTACGAAGTGAGACACGAACGATGTCCTCCAGATGAACTGAAATGTTGAAGATATCGCAGAAGAATCTGTCGACTTCGAGTCCTCCCACACTTGATAATGGCGTGCATATAAAGTGAGAGGCGAAACGTCAGGATGCCGGTCGCCCCGGGCCGCTATAAGACGGATTGCTCCAGTGAAACCCCTCCCCCACGCAGCCACACAGAAGACCCTGGAAAGAGGTCATGACTGCAGGTGCTCGAACCACGGCTCATCGATAGATCATGGTGTTAGCTCTGCAGTCGGAGTTACATCATCCCCGATGTTGACGCCCACGAGCAGTGTCCAGTGTGTAAGAAAAACAAGGGCCCCGGCAATAGTGTCTCTCCGATCACGGCATCCCGAAAAGAGTATGTGGTACCATGCAGCACAAGGAGGTCCAGGCCTTCTGACCTTCCCACCCCTCTTTTGCTCTCGGCGGTTGTGGTCGATATCGTGGTATCTCTGGTTGACCGTGGAGTGTAAAAACCGGGCGATAACCATCACCATCCGTTTTTGTGGTTCCCAATTGGTGACCTCTTCATCCAACTGGCAAGCTCAATTGAATCATTCACCATTGACAACATGGACAGCAACGCGCAGGATGTGTCTGATAGCGACAGTAACTCCACGCTGTGTTCCGACGTGGACGAAACATCCCCTCTCTTGGAGTCGCAACCAACCAAGCCAACGTATGTGACGTGCTCAGAGGCAGGTCAAGAAGTATGGAAACCAGGACCAGGATTCTGGTGGATTGAGATCGGTAGGTAAACACTTGGTTGAGAAAAGCAAGAGCAAAATTATAGAAAATGAAAGCGATACTGACCTTTTGTGGACAGCCTTGTGGGCCAATGTGTTTTTGTCGGGATTTGACATGACCATCACGGCGTCGACGTATGCCGCCATCAGTTCCGAATTTGGTGCCGCAAACAACGCTGCCTGGTTGACGACATCGTACCTCATCACGAGCACTGCGTTCCAGCCACTCTATGGCAGGCTGTCAGACTTGTTCGGGCGGCGTCTTTGCTTCTTTGTGTCCACAGTAACGTTCATGGCTGGCTGCCTTGGATGTTCCCTTGCCCAGGACATGCTGACGCTCAATATGATGCGGGCTCTGGCCGGGTTCGGAGGAGGAGGATTGATCACAATGGGTGGGTTGGGTTTCTTTTCATTCGTCACCTCGAAGAGCACTTGCTAACCACGCCACTAGCGACTGTAATCAACTCCGACATGATTCCCTTCAAGCAGCGTGGCATGTACCAAGCAATGCAAAACATCCTCCATGGATTCGGATCCGTGCTTGGAGCGTCACTCGGGGGCACCATTGCCGAGACCATCGGATGGAGATGGTGTTTCTTGTCGCAGGTTCCTGTGTCACTGGTAGCTCTCGTGGTTGGGTACTTTGTTTTGGAGAACCCATTGCACTTGGTCGAATTGACGGATCCTAAGCGACGAATTCGGTCTGCGTTGCAGTATCTCGACCTCTCTGGGGCCACGCTGCTAGTTGTAGGACTGGTAATCCAACTCTTGGGATTGAGCTTTGGAGGCAACGAGTATCCTTGGTCGAGCGTGCCGGTAGTGACCGCCCTGGTAGCGAGTTGTGTGTTGTTGGCCGGGTTCATCGTGGTCGAAGCAAAGACGAAGGCAATGCCGATGATACCTCTTCGGATGCTGCAAGGTTGGCAGCCCAGTGCGGTGCAGCTGAGCAACATCTTTTCCGGCATGGCAGCGTATGCTGTAAGTTACCGAATGCCTTCCCGTCGCTTGATGCCAGACCTGCTGACTGACTCCTTTTCCCCTGCAGTATATGTTCATGATCCCCTTGTACTTCCAAGCAGTCCGGGGAGACTCGCCGTCCAAGGCAGGGCTGAGGCTCGTAATGCCGTCTTTGGCAACGCCGATCGGCGGGGTGATCGCAGGGACCTTGATGCAGCGCGGGAGCCGCCTGAGTTATAACGTTCGGTTGGGGACGGCCATGATGCTGCTCGGTAACATGCTCGCGGTGACGTTGGGGACGACAGGCGATCGACGCAAGGAATTCGTGTTCTTGGTACCGGCGACGCTGGGCCTCGGACTGACAAACCCCAGCATTCTGTTTAGCTTTGTGTCTCTGTTTGGGCATCGAGGTAGGCCGCTTGGGTCTGGAGACAAGATAGAGAGGTGTTTGCTAACTGGGAAGCAGACCAAGCGGTAGCCACGTCGACGGTATACCTGATCCGATCGATGGGGAGCATTTACGGCGTCACCGTCACGTCGGCCATTGTGCAGAATGTCTTGATGACGAGACTGCCGGCAACGCTGGGAGATGCGGCAACGGATGAGGTGAGTTCTGTCGACGTCGATCCCGCGAATGATGATTACTGACGAAGAGTAGCTGATCGAGAAACTCCGCAAGTCGGTGTTTGCGCTGCGTGAACTGTCGCCCGAGTTGGAGAAGGCAGTCAGGGCGTTGTACGGGGACGCCTTGAGGATCTCGTTTCTGGCTTCGACATCGTTTGCTCTGCTGGCATTCTTGTTTTCGTTCGCGCACAGAACCGGCAAATTGCAGAGAAAGCCCTAATGGATAATCTGGCGGTCGAAGGAAGGAGCGAAAGTTCTGCTCGTTGATATTGCGGGCTATTGAGGAAGTCGCAATGAGGTTGTCGTGGTTATGGTTGTCTTGTTTCGCGGGGAAGGTGTTCGCTGTAGCAGACCAAAATGACGTGCTCGTTCAGTTCCTCCCCAGTTCGGTCAAGCTGCCAGTTGCCAGCGCTAGCCAATCAGCAATTGGACAGCTGCCGCCGGCTGCGGCTGTCTCCACTTTCTTGTACCCTTTGTACCTTTGTACCTTATTGCACTTCGATTTCAATCGGTCTGGCGTTCATTTTCAACGACAACATCCATCACCGTCAACTTGTCTACCATGTGTGATCACATTCACCGGTTTTTCATGTCTTCATATTTCCTACCATCGAGCTCGGACCAGGTGTATGGGTTGGACTTGTCAACTCTATCAATGAGGAAGGTGTCCAAAGACTCATCAGACACTGAGCGATTGGATGTTGTCACAGAAGAGCTTCCGAGCCTCGGACTCAAAGGTCGATTGCAACATCAGAGCAATCGCTCAAGCTCACTGGTCGAATAGTCTGACTTTTGAGCAAAGAGAGCGAGGAATATGATCCTACCAAGTCTACAGTAACCATAGACAAGTCCGACAAGACCACTCAGATGATGGCAGTCCGACATGGAAACAACCATAATATCCATCAAGTCTCACAACAGTGTCTCACCTTCCAAGTTGGATCAAGGGCACAGCATCAGTCCGAGTTATTGGGTTGGAGTTTAGCAACCAACACACTTCCTTGATCTGAAAAGGGAGGTGGTGAGATGCGTCTGAGGGGCGTCGCAAGAAGCATGGTCTACTGACCAGACGGTTTCATGGATTGAGAAGAAGAGAGAGAGAGAGAGAGAGACCAAAACTTGAAGCTTGATTGTGTTACAGCCAAGAAATTGACCGAAAGATAGATATAAAGACCACACAAATCTGCCCGAGAAGAGTCTCATCCAGCACATCAATTCTCATCAACCTCATCACTCCCAACTCCAACAACACCAACCAAACTTCCACCAGCCAAAATGCAGTTCAGACTCTCCGTCGCCGTTCTCCTCACCTTTGCGCTCAGCGCCCTTGCCTCTCCCGTCCCGTCAGACGATCTCGCTACCAGAAACCCCGAAGCTGAGGCCATGGACACTTTGCTCGAGAGAGGTATCTGCACCTGTCTTTGCGAGCCCTGCCGTGGCCGATGCAGACTCTGCGAGTCAGGTGTCTAAATACACCACTCAGACTTCTGGCTTCAGAAGATGTCCTCTGTAGGTTGAACTTCTACAACCCGTCTCGGTCCACTGCTCATGCCCCTGAATCCTGTCGAGTGGGCCTACTCACATTGTCTTGGGAGTGCCCCTTTACTCATCCGTTCTTGCCCCTTCACCATTGTTTCAAGGTGCTTGTCTTAGGTAGCAATAATCTAACAGCTCATCATTAGCTCAATTTCCAGCCAAATTGTGTATGTAAATGAGACTTGGAAGTCTGTGGTCGAGTTCATCGAAGAGGTCCAGGTCCGATTTGGAATTGTTAGTCGAGTCTTGGCACCACCGGGCCTCGGTGAAGAAGGGCCCGAATCAATCTCGAGCCACTCTGCAACTGTAATCGAGGCTGCACATAGATGGATCAATTGACTTTGTAAATGAATATTTTCGAAGCCCGCGTCCTTTATCAACTTGTCATATTGTAAATTCCTGTGTTGTCTGTTGCGATGTACTAGTTGACAAACATCTGTGGTCGTGATCGACTACCAAGCCGATCAACGGGATCAGTGATGTCACACTTTTGCACCCCACCAATCTGATGTCAACAGATGCAGTGACACTCGTTCCTGAGAACCCCAACGGCCATCCTATAACATCAGACGAACCGTTATTTCCAACCACAACCCATCTCCAATTTTCTCCGATAACTCGTTCTGTTACACAACAACACAGTGCTTCAGTTTGCATTTCTCCCACCCATCAACAACTACCACACTACCAGCAACGTCCATCGTCAACCACTTCAACCAATTAACCACCACTAACCTTCATCACTACCACAACAGTAAGAAAACAATCACCATGTCGACAATGTACTCCCGATCCGTCCAACATGCCCTCGTGCGTCCAGCAACAGCCTCAATCCGCGCCGCCAACCGACCAAGCATGCTCCCCCCAACCATCAAGCAAAGCCTCCAACAAACCCAAGACCATGCTCGAAGACAAGAACGCCTTTGGATTTGTCCGCCATAACCCCCGCCCTCCCAAGCCGAGAAAGGTTGGAGTCACGGAAATCCGAGGCCCGTATTACTCAGCCATGGGCAAGCGGTATTTGCAGGATGTTCTTGAGACGTATGTCACCTTTCTCCCCTTTCTCCCCTTTCTCCCCTTTCTCCCTGCCCTTTCTCCCTACCATTTCCCCCTCCCCCCTCCCTTCCCACTCCCCTTTCGATCTCCAAAGACCAAGCACTAACATATTCCACAACAAAGAATGGGCTACCACATAGACGGCCTCAAATTCGCCGGCGGCTCCTTCTCCCTCTTCCCCGAATCCCGCCTCCGCGAACTCATCGACCTCGCCCACGAGCACGGCGTCTACGTGTCCACCGGCGGCTGGATCGAGCACATCCTGTCTTCCTCTCCGGACGCCCACTCCGCCGTCGACAAGTACCTGTCCCACTGCAAGTCCTTGGGGTTCGACGTGATCGAAATCAGCACCGGCTTCCTCTCCTTGCCTCCAGACGACTGGCTGCGTTTGATCAATAAAGTGCACGACGCCGGGCTTATTGCCAAACCTGAGATTGGCATCCAATTCGGTGCTGGCGGGGATACGAGCGCCGCAGAACTGGAAAGTATGGGCGCTACCGCTGATCCGAGTAAAGTGGTGAATTTGTGCCGGAGGTTTGTGGAGGAAGGAGGCGTGGAGAGGATCATGATTGAGAGTGAAGGGATCACGGAGAATGTGGCGGGCGGGAAGAAGGGGTGGAGGACGGATGTGGTGCAGGCGATTTTGAGGGATATTCCGCAGGAGAAAGTCATGTTTGAGGCGGCGGATCCGGAGGTTTTCAATTGGTATGTGCGGGAGTTTGGGACGGATGTGAACTTGTTTGTGGATCATTCGCAGATTGTGCAGTTGAGTTGTTTAAGGGAGGGCATTTGGGGCATGTCGGATACATTTGGGAAGGTTGTTTCTTTCCGGTGAGTGCCCTACGGATTTGGGGGGCTGGAGAGATGAATGCATGAATGAATGAACAAGGGATGATCACCTTACTTTATCGACAAACTCATGGGATGTGATCATTGATTCATAAAACTGAAAATATGTCATAAGTCGTTAGATAGATAGCACTCGTTTACTCGTTAGGTATGTTGAAAGAAACCAAACTTCCCACAGCATCTCCGAACATCTCCAACTTCTTCCATCCGTCCAGGCGAATCTCATCAATGGGAACCTCCCTTTCTAGAATGTCCTTGCTTTTCCTGAGGACGCGCATGTGAAGTGCTTGTGGACACTGATGGCTGAGGCGTTGGGTAGTAGCCATCCTGAAGCGCTCTATCATGGGCGGTATACGCTCGATGTTCCTCATCGAATCCCATGTGAACGCTCTTCAGATACGATTTGAACTCTTGCATCATGTCGCACACCTGCACAAAGTCTTTGCGCTCCAGTCTCGGTCCTGACCTGGTCTTCCTAGTGATGTTTCTCTTCTTGTCGTTCGCAACGCTTTCTGCGTGTCTGAACTCGGCCAATGCGACGGCCGTTTGGAAAGCTAGGTTAGAGGACAAATTAGCAAACGGTGAGGATACCACTCGGTGACAAGGTTGAGTTGATTCATCGCTCAGTGTAAAAGGCCCAGCAAGACGAAGGTGAAATATGTTCACTGTAGGGTGGAAGGTAAAGGTACTCACCATTGCGAATCTCTCGTCCGTTCCAAGGCAGATCGACTATGGGGGTTTCTTTCTTTTTTTCACTTTCACTTTCACTGTTGCTTCCACTGTCGTCGCCGTCTCTGTCCTTTCGATCCTTTCCAAAGATGTAGTCCTCTGCGCGATCGTGGATGTCAAAGTCCCGTTCTTCCCTGAGCTTTTCGAAGAACTGCTGCCAGATCTGCGTCCTGTCCTTAGGCGTGAGGTTCCTATAGTGAATAACGACATGGATTCGTGACATGAATGCGTCGTCAAACTGGCCGACTCGGTTCGTTGTCAAGAAAAGAACACCACGGTAGTACTCAACGCATCGCAGGAATACTGCGCGTATGCCATTGAGCGGTTAGTAACGTTGAGGTATGATGTAGGGCTGGACGGAGTTCAACAAAAATAAGTAATGAGTCTGTGACGTACCTGAAACCAAGCTGTTGCGCTTGAGATCACTCGTTGATCTGGCCTCAAGAAACACGTCGGCCTCGTCAATGAGCATAACAGCGCCCCATTTCTCCGCCAATTGAAACCAGTTCAGGAGCTTCTTCTCCATCTTGACCTCGTCTGTCCCTATATCTGCACATGTGAGTGAGAGTAGGGGTCTTCCAGTATACTCCGCAATACATTCTGTGGAGAGGGTGAGTCAGTATGGATAAGACATGCCTTCCCTAAATTCGGACTTGGGAGCTGGATTTGATGCTTGCCTGCGGTCTGTCGGCTGACAGTTAGCATACACTGGTCCCTGCACTTCATATTCCGTTCCTTGGATATTGCAATGATTCTGGAGACTTACGTATGTCTTTCCCACGCCTGGGCTGCCGTGGAGCAAGAAGATTTGGCCTTCGCCTTTGTTATCGATGAAGTCAGCTTTCCAGACATCTGCGTAGTCCTCATCACCGTCCTGGTCGTGTGCCTTGGAATCAGAGTATTTGTGAATGAGAGCCTTGATCATTTTCTTTTTGTCTTCATGCATCACCAGTTTGTTGATAGCGTCCCTGTTGGTTCTGGGCTCTTGGCAGCATTTCGCATCAAGCACCACTAATGTGACAGGGTAGCAAGTGAAGCGAGTTAGGGTCTCCATCCAAACCTAGCGGAGTGTCAACGGCGAATTCACTTACGCCAGTTTCGAGATCTCAAGTCGAAGCCATGGAGTTTCCGCTCACAAAGGAGGTAGCGATGATCTGGGTCTTTGGCTGGGGCCTGGAGATTGAGGTTCATGTCCCTTGCTGGGTTCAATAGCTCATAATCCGTCCAAGGAAAGCCTACGAGCGGGTGCGGTCTAAATCCTAGACACTCTCCGCATGGGCAATTTGTTAAGCCCTGACCCATATCACCAATACCGCCAAGGACGGGTGGTTTCTCTGGGATGGGTGCTAAAGCGTTTTGGTCGCTAATTTCCGTCCCACTTTCGGCTTTCTTCGCCTTCGTAGAAGACCCGGATCTGTCTGTCCCGGTAATGGCTGTGCTATCGATGTTGTAAAACGAAGAAGTGTCGACATAGACCCGACCGTGGAACTGTGACTCTGTCAGTATCCGTGGGCATAGCTGTGAACTGGTTGCACATCGAGATCTCCACCGAAGCTTGACTGCACATTTACTTACCTCGCGTTTGCGGTCGTCCAAAAGATGACCAGAATAGAAGACTTGCCCTCCACGCAGCAGTTCATACCACATCTTCCCATCAGTGATCAGGCCCTCGCGAGTCTCCCCCCCATCCTCCTTGTCCTTATACTCGCAGGGAATGATGTGGAGGCTGGTGATCTCCCGCTCGCCTTCAAATGGGGGAATATATTCCTCTGTTGCATGCCTCCCAACAAATGTCCCGTCGTAATCAAGGTTCCACATCTGGATTGTGAACCCGGCCAGCCTTGGCTTTTCCCTGTTCAGCTGATCCTTTTCATGGTATTCAACGATGGAGATGACGAATGCTGAGAGGCGTCCACGGGACTCCACATAGACCGTAGTTCCCGGCTTGTATAACAGCCACAACATCTCGTACGTACACACACCCTTCTGATATCGACTTTGCTCGTCGGCAACCTGTTTGCCGTTCATGCCTATGACAAAGTCGACCAGCCCCCGAAGCTCCTTCCTTCCGGAAGCATGGGTATCGTCTCCATGGACCTCGCTCAAGTGCTGTTCGATCAGGTCGTGATAATGCCAAACAAAATCATAAGGGGCCCATAGGGTCAAAGATCTACCTTTGAGATTGATGGATGGGTAATACGAGACCAGCCTGTTGAGTATCTCAAGGAGAGGTTGGGAGCGAATGATGATGAATGTTCTGCCAACCTTCACAGAAATGTTTGGGTTTGCGAGTATCTTCCCATTGCTGTATCTGTCGAGCTCGTGTTGGTAGGTGCCCATGCCGTTGTTTATGGACGTATGCACCTCAGTTTCCACCCGAAACGGCGGTTCTTTTTTTGCGGTGCCGGCAAGGTCCTTTCTAGCCTCGGAAAGATCAAACGGCCCGTCCCAAGCGTCCACCAAAATAGGTCTGTCGTTTGAGTCCAGATAACGCACATGGTACTTGAAGTCGCCTGGGTCTTTGGGAGCAGCTCCTGACATCGCGCTAGACCCAGGTCCCCCGGAGTTGTTCATCTCCTTTTTGAACTCGGGTTTGCGCAGTGACTGACCACATCTTGGGCAGTTCCAGTAGCCGAATGTAACTAGAACTGCGTGGGATTCTCCTGCGGACTTGCACCAGAGATCAACGGGATTGTCAGGTGTCCACAGCTTGGCAGTGACCTTGTTCTCGGTTTTCACCGCGGGTACATCTTTTTCGAGTCCATCGGGGGTGTTTGGATGTTCAGTAGAACCCTGGGCCGTTTTATTGTCGTTATCCTTCAGAAAATGCTCGCTCATGGAGTCCTCAGTTGGTTGATCTTGACTGGTTGCTTTGCTGGTGCTTTGTGATTCTGAGCCCGAGGATGCAGGAGTTGCTGAAGTTTCTTCGGTTCGAGAGGTAGAATCGGAGGCTGGAATAGCGTCATTACTTCCACCATTACCGCCATGGTGTTCAGCAGCGGACGGAGTGGTTGCCTGCGAGGTAACTGTACCTCCAAAGGATGTCGAGTCCATGGTGAATGTGTTCAAGGCAACCGATTCGAGACTCGGTTGCATGAATCAAGCTAAGAGTTGAACACAACTAGAATTCATCTGCCTTGCTTGGAATGGATGACTGAGTGAGCCCTTTGCCACGAGAGGGGTGCTGTAAAAGAGAAGAGACGAAAGGGGGGAGAGAGGAAGGTGGATGAACGCCAAACAGAGGAGAGACGCGTGAGAAGGACGGGGCTATGCGTCGTAATGTGGGAGCCGGTAACAACCTCCATAAATGGGCCTTTGATATCACTTTCCACAGCTTGCCGCCGAGGAACATGTCTGTCTATGCCTCGACTACAGAGAGGCAGGAACGATACAGAACAGGCGGGTGCGAAAACGTGAATGAAACGTCGTCGACGCTCGCTGTAACCCGCCCGCCCTATGCCACTTGCCGCTTCCATCACACACATGCAAATTATCACATTTGAAGCCTTGGCTCAATATGCATAGATGCAGTTCGGAAAGTCTGCTTCAACCACTCATTTTATTGAGGAATTTCCAGCTGCCTTGTTGTTCCATCCGGGTCGTTTCAATTCAACACAGCCCCGCCTGCTTCGCCGCTGGACAGGAGCTACAATATGCAGCAGGACTCGGGTTTTGGCAAGGCTTTGGGAAAAAGCAAAAGGGAATGAAACCCTCGGGAGGAAATGCGGCGACGAAAAGGTCTGGCCTGGTAAGCGGACAGAGTTGTGGGTGTACGTGGGCCTGAGCAGACTGGATGATTTTGACAATATTGGTTGCCTTCACAATGCGGCGCAGCGCGTACACTTTTAGGGATGCAGGCCGCACAAGTTGGTCGCCCAAGATGGAAGGCATCCATCATGAAGACTCGGCTGTCTCTGGTACGAGGAAAGCGCGGCTGGGGAATGATGGGAAGGATTATGAACAGGAGAGGGATCAGTTGAACCCCCAAGGAGTCAAGATTGATCCACAGGTCTCGGCTTCTTCAGATCCACAAAGTCGTCTTGTGGTATCAAAACCGCATCAACACCGGTGACCCAACAGACTTGACCATGAAAAGAAGATTGTGAGCAAGCCAGCTCTCTGCCTGCACGTCCTTTTCTAACAACAATAAACAAATGACTTGACAACACAACGACGTCCCCTCAGCACTGCCAAGCCCTCCCAATGCAGCACTCATTCTCGATACCAGCGATGAACCAGGCAGGATCAACACCAGAGTCGATACCCATGGTGCGCAGTTTTAGTATGAAAATAGCTAGCGAGCAACCCGATAATATGCTTGCTCAGCGCACCAGAGAAGTTGTGAAGAGGGATGATGAGTACAGGGAAGCCAACCACCAAAGGAAGATAGATTGTGTCAGATGGCTCGACTTTGGAGAAGACAGCGCAGTGTGAGAACCAACTGGAGAGAGATCGATCATGCAGACGCAAGCGGCTGACAAGATATTAAGTGACCAGACAGACATTGCCTATCGTCTCCAGATTCATAGCAGGAAGCTGATAAATACCTGGAAAAGGCTCTCTCCGGAGCTGTTCTCTGTTGAAGGGGAGGAATTTCGTACGCCATCAGAGTACAAGCTGACCCTCGACACACTTCGGGACACCATCTTGCAAGCCGAAAAAAGACGAGAAGCAAAGAAGCGCAGTTGGGTGAAGGAGCGGTTCCTAAACTTCATTGATATGATGGACAACCACAAGTATCTCCTCGAGTTCATCCCAAAGGGAGATAAGTACGTGAGCCTGTTCACTGGCGTCATCTCGTCTGCCGTGAAGGTAAGCTTTCCCAATAACAACTTTGATGCACTACGCTCCGCAAGCAGGAAGAGTGACTCGACTGTTGCTGACGGACAACGAAACGGGACAGGTTTCGTTGGAACACAGAAAGATTTCCGAAACCTTTTCCATGGCTCTTCTGAGCATAACCACGGAGCTGGCACGTGTTAAAAGAACGGAGAAGATTTCAAACAGCCCCCAAATGCGACTCCTAGTTGTTGACTTGTATGTGGGATTCTTTCAAATGCTTTGCGGGTATATGGATTGGCTCCAAATGGGCACCTTGGGGAGGTTTTGGGCCTCGTGCAGCGGAAACTTTTATGCCAAGAACGTGGAGATTTTGACCAAGCAGGTTCAGGAGTCGGTCCGACAGATCGAAAATGAGGCGGATCTCGTGTTGCAATCGCGCATGAAGGATGTGCATACCATCGTCGGCCTCGTGGGGGAAGGCCTTGCGCAACGAACAATCGGCCAAGGAAGTCGTTATGACGATGAGGTGATGAGTCGAGAGAAGTTAAACCGAATAGGAGAGATGCTGGGTTCATCGAATGTTCGGGCCTTGGACTCGGTGGAGCAACAGGTGGCACATGGTAAGTCGGCAGCACCTTTGCTGTGGTTGTCGTGGCATTGTGTATTCCCCTTGGAATGTTCCTCGGATGATAATCAGGACACTGACACTTTTCACACCATATAAGAGCAAACCGAACGCGCCGCTCTGAAAAGTGCACATGCGAACGCCATTCGCGTACCTACGACAGCAGCTGTGGTGAGCACACCGACAGCAGAGCCGAGACCGGAAGCCAACCACGTAGAGCAGGATGTCGTGATGGAGATTGACGAAGAAGGTATGTATTTGCTGGTCGCATCAGCCCTCCAAAATCTGACCCATCACAGAAACAGAAGAGGCCTTCATGCATCGCAGCGATCTCGAGCAGCATATCCACCACCTGCTTGAGCGGTATCTCGAAGATGGTAGGACGGATGTGGCCCGCCAGCAGAAAAGCTCGCTCTCTGCAATTCTTCCCAGAGAAGTCGTGATCCATCTGCAAACATGGATCAGCGAGTTTAAATCCAGTATCAGATGGGTTGTCGGGACACCTGTATCGCCCTTTGGATCCGGCCTGTCTGTTGCGGCTCTTCGCCTCTGCGACGTAAGCAGCGAGATAGGTATACCGTGCATATCTTTCATCTGCAAGCAGATGTATAACTTTGCCTCGCCCTCCTCCACCAACATGAAAGGAAAGCGGTTCAGGCTCGATCTGCAGGAAGCCGGTCTTATAGCTCTCCTCTACTCAGTCATCACTCAACTGATTTACCTCCTCCCCGATGAGCCTTTCCCCATCAACCCCGTGCTGGACAGGAGCAACTTTGAGCAACTGGACGGCAGCATGGCGAGTGCCCCAGTGGCGTTGCGAATCATCCGAGAATTGGCGACCTATGCACCGCCCTCACTGATTTGGGTAATCGATAACCTGCAACTGACCGAGAGCACGACGACAATGCCGCATCTAAGGGAGTTCATCGCTTTTCTGCGCGAGCAGACGAGCGCGACGGAATTGTCGGACGAAGGAGGAACTCAGCGCCTATCAAAGGTGTGTTTTACGACGGATGGTAACAGCTTCGTGTTGGCCGAAGAGGTTGGTGTAATGGAACGGATCAATGCGTCGAGGATATCCCAGAGACGGCCTGGGACGCGGTTGAGAGGCGGGCAAGACGTGAGAGATTTGGGACGCAGGTGGCAGTAAAGCCACTCGACTTGAGTAAAGTCATTTTTCGGATTTGTAATGAAACGAGGTTAGCGTTGGCCTAGATACGCGCGTCGAATTGAACGTAGATGTCACAGTTCGCTTTACCTTGAACCGCTTCTCCCTCGCAATCAACCAATCATCCGAGCCGGCGGGATGTCTTCTTCTCGTTACGAAGTCTCTGATTTTGCCTGGCCTAGTTCCCAGGCGCAGCCATGGATGTCGGAAGGTGAGATGTTCTCAAGGGAGTGGCCAAGCGTAATTGCAGCCACAAAGATCCCATGAGAGGGGGGAGAAAGGTACACGATTCATGTAGTAATACGGAGCGCCAGCAAGAAGGAGAGCATTGCGATGGGAGGTAGTGAGAGTTCGGACTTGTGAGCAGGCATCGCAAAGAGCAGAAATCAAGAAGTCTGACATGTGGGAGAAAGAGGGCAAAGATAGACGGGAAGAAGTGGAAGATGGGAGCGGGAGAAGAATTTGCTCGCTTCGGACACTGAACTTAACACCCGAGACATGCACGCTGCTTCATGCCAGCTACAGGCAGAGAGGCAGGCACCACTAATGCTAACCTCAGGGTAGGCCTGCCGTGCGTAGAGGTAGTGTGTACCCCGCACAGCACTCCCGTCCCTGCCTCAACTGGACCGACGAACGCTTCAGGCATCTGTTAACGACGACGAGAGCCGTGAAAGATCATTGCAAAGTTTTTGCAACCTGAGCTTGTTATCATAACAGACGACACTTAATCCAAAAGAGCCAAAGTCGCCTTAATCGCCAGCACCAACACAGGCGACATCAACCTCGAGGACCTTGATGGCCAACTGACGTAATCCTTCCCTTCTTGTCCCGATAACAATCCACTATCGCTATCGATGACCGACCGATAAGAGCCCCAGACACCGGGCCAACACCAAGGACCCCAAGACGACGGCAAATTAGGCCAGGGAAGAGCGGCCCGACACTCCAAAGCCGTCTCGGAATGGATGGCTTGGCAAGATGAAAATGTGACATAAACTTTTTGTCTCGTCGGCAGCCGGCATTTCCATCTTTTGATTGTTAACAAGTTGGCAAGTTGCTGGGCTGATGTCGGTGTCGATGATCGAATGGGTGTTCGGTGGGAATTTGACCGATTTTGTTCGTGATTCAGAGTCTGACTTTGGGCGTTTTCAGCAGTCTATCAATTCATCATCACTGGTAAGTGCGATTTTGAAGCTGAAACAACATTCAACTCGAAAATGGTATATACTTTTTAAAAAGAAAAAGAACCACAAAGGAGATATGTTACAAACCATGCATTGTCCGGAATGACCTCGTTTTCTCTCCCATCCCATACTATCCACGCCATCTACCTTTGGTATCCAATCACCAGAAACATCCAACCCCATAGCCAATTTACAACTCATCCTTAACAGCAGTCTTGACCTTATCCACAACCTCCTCAACCTTGGTCTTCAACTCCTCCACCTTTTCGACCTGAGTCTTGAACTGCTTCTTCTCGACCTGCTCATCCTCATCCTCAGGAACAGACTCATCAACCTTGAGCACCTGCGCCTTGATCGTGAACTCCATATCCCTCTTGCCCTCGGCGCGGTCGGCTTGGGTCTTTTGGACGGGGTAAGCGACGACGGCGCCCTCGGTGGGTTTGGCCGTGTACTTGGTGATGTCGGAGAGGGTTTCTGTTGTCAATCGTGTTAGCACCATAACCTCTTGAGAAACTTATCAAAGAAAGGAGAAAGAAGAGATGACAACATACCCTCACACTCACTCTCCTCAGCAACCCAAAGCGGCGCATTCTCATAAACCGCTCCCGGCGCAAAGATGACCACTCGCTGTTCATCTCCCTTTCTCCACTCCTTTTCTTCTTCTTCTGTCATCGGCGCTCCCTCCTTCTTCTCCTTGATCAAGCTCGTCGCAGTAGCAACGATTTTCTCGCCCTTATCCACATCCGCCTTTGCCAACACCGCAAACAACCCTTTGCCCTTGCCTTCCTCAGCCCACTCCTCACTCTCAATCCACCTCCTCACCCGCAGCGGAACATCCACATACTCCATCATGAGCATATTCCTATCATAGCCATGGGGATCAATCCCGTCCCAGGACCCAGGATACGGTCTGTTAGTAAAGACTTTTCTCAAAGCCTCGACCCAGGGGATGAGACCTTGGGGCGGGAGTTCCTGCAGGTCGTCGAGGAGGTATTCTGTCGCCTTAAAGGTCTTGGTGGAAGAGCAAGTGGCCACGAAACGCGTGGGGGAAGAAGCTTCGGAGGCGGAGGAGATGGTGATGCGTGTGGATGAGGGGTCCGACGGGAAAGGGTTCGGCCAGGACCAGTTGGGCATCAAGGCCGGCTTGCCGGGGAGACGTTCGGCGTTTTCGGGCACGGGGGGACCGACTGCTGAGGCAAAGGAGGCGAGATAGGCGTAGGCGTAGGCCGTGGGGATGAGAGAGGGGGTCTTCATTTTTGCGGTGGTGTTTGTTTTTTGGGGATGCTGTTAGGTGGATGGGTTGGTTGTTGATGTGATGAAGGTGGTGATGGTGTTAGCAGTTCACCGGTGGGGTCAAGGGCAGTCAAGACGGGAGTGAAGAGGAAAAAGTAAGAGCAGATGAGAGGGAGAACATGGTCAGCTTTGGGCATTTTCTTTTCTGTCTTCTTCTTGGTCACTGGCAAAAGTGCAATGTTGTCCTCCGGAGGGCTCTTCCGCATTTCCAAATTCGATCATGGCCCGAAGCCGCCGTCGTTCCGAGGGAGCTCGCGAGGGGAGATATGAGGAGATACTTTGGAGAAATCCAGGGGTCTTTTGGAGTTGATTTGGGGTGCTTTGGGGAATTTGGGGAGAGATGCGGAGATCGCCAAGTGAGGTCGGTGGGGTAGCTGCTAGACGGGACGACGTTCCATTGTGCGGAGAAGGTTGGGGTCAGGAACAGGAACTTCTGGAAGACATCCGAACCGGAGTACGACAACGGCTATGTAGGGGTACACTCGTCCGAGACTGGCTCGGGGCAACCTAATCCGATTTCGCGGTTGACCCTTTGTTTTTGCTGTTGAATTCTGTGAACATTCCGTGATGGATATGGACGACCATAATGTGGTGTTGTTTCTGAAGGGCCTGATAATCAAGAGAATCATATGTGAGCCACTCCAAGACATTCATTGAACTTTCAAATTGTTGATTCCAATTGACCGTAGTGGATCTCTACGAATCCCCACTGCCAGATACGGGATCCTCCCTTTGAGACGACGATCGCGACCCGAGTCTTCCAGGAAAGGCCTTGATACCGGCCGCCGCAAGGATGGCCGCGATAGCTTCATCATCGCTTTCCTTCTGCGACTTGATATTCCTCTGGTTCCTCGTGGGCCAGCCAGGCCACTCCTGGGGACGAGCAAACAGCCGTCTCTCATGCTCGTAACCATGCTCTTCCCACTTCGCGGCGCCGTACGCTTCCCAGAGGGGATTGGCGCCCGAAATGCCTCGATACGAAATATCTTCCATGTCCCACGGACTCGCCCGTGCAAGAGGATGGTGATTCCTGGGCCCCGCTGTCGACATGGCTCCGAGATACACCATGAACAACGCCTCGGCCAGAACGATAAGCTGCAGATCCTCCAGAGCCTTGGTGGCAGTCTTGGAGGCCGTGGGATTGGGAAGCCGCAAGAGAATAAAGGGGAACTTGGGTCTGGTGAGGTTCAAGGTGGCGTCCTGGACCCAGCCTGCGCCCTTCTTGGTAGCATCCCCGCTATGTAGAGCAAAATAATGGGTTACGAGACGCAAAACAAGCCCTCCTCTGCGCGAAGCTGCTGAGCCTACATACAGGTTGACGTCGTCACTCACGTAGCTTTGGCTTTGGGGCGGAGTGCTTAGAAGGCCGTAGACGCCCAGCTCGACGCCTGCGTTCTGTTCGTCCACCCTGAGCCAGGGAAGCTCCTTGAGCTTGGCGACGGTGGGCGGGTATGGACTGGCCAGGATTTCTCTGACCGGATCGGACAGAAGGTCTACTATCTGGGCGATCCACTGACTCGGCGTCTTTGTCTGCAAACGTGAGACCCATTCGGGATGCGGATAGCAGTCAAGCAAGGCGTCATAGATGGAGCGAAGGCGGCCGTTGATCTTCTTGTTGAGCAGCCTGCGTCGCTCCTCCGCTTTGTCGGGTCCGTAGACATCGGGATAAGCCGGACCCCAGTCGAACTTGTGGAGGTCGTTTGGCAAGGAAGGATCACGCTGGCGACACAGCTGGATAATGAGCTTTTTGTAAAAGGCGACCTCATCTAGGTCCATATCGCGTTTTTTCATGCGCTGAAACACGACGGGAAGGGGATCTCCTCGGGTCCAACCCGACGCGAATGTCTCAATGTCGACGGGCTTCCAAGGCTTAATCCATTTTTCGCAACCGGGTAGCCAGATCTTGCCCTTTTGTGTCGTGTATTGGACGAGAGCGTCGTTATAGTTATCTTTTCGCTTGCTTGCCGTGGCAGCTGGAGTTGAACTGAAAGATCGAGTGGCGCGCAACTCGGTGTATGCTGAAATGTTTTGGGTACTGGAGTCGCATTGAAGGGAACGTAATGTGCGTGGTCGAGGGTTCGCGACGTGGGCGCATTGTGATACCGTCATCGGGCGGCGGCCCAGGACCCGGAAGGAGTAGCTCATGTCTTGTGCGGTCGGTGTTTTGTTGGCTTCGGTGTTTTTACTCGATCTGGTGACATGGAATGAGGATAAGCGAGGGTTTCACGGGATGTTTGCCAGTGGGAGTTGCGAGAGCAGTCGAGGTCTTGGTTGTCGGCGATCACGCGCAGTCGTACGCACAGAGGTGTGAACTGTAGAAAAGGTGGTCGAGGGGAAGATCGATTGTCGAAGAAGAACTGAATGAAGCACCGTCGTCGATTGTGATTGCGGAGTCGTGGAGTCGCCGAGTCGGGATTGATGGAGCCTCAAGAGCGGGATCGTGGACCGGAAATGGATCCAGCCGGAGTGAGTGGATTTGGCGTTGACGGTGATGGCGCACTCAACGGCGCCGGTTGATGGGAATCTATCCGGCCGAACTTTTGCATGCGGGACGGGAGTGCCGTCTGCCCCGCCGACATTTGAAGTTTCAAGATACGTACCTCCAATTGTGGCTAGTGTCTCCTGAAAGCGAAAAAGCTGCTACTGTGGCTGCGGAAGTGGCGTATCACCTTATCGAGATCGAGTCCAGCGTTCCGGTCCAGCAGCGGTGAAGTTGAACTTCCCACCGGCCACAAACCCATCAATTCTCCTGAGATGCCTCATGACGGCGTCAGTGTGAACATGAAAAACGAACCACGCTTTTTGCCGGCGTAATCCATAAAATACGGGCCCGAAGGCGCCAGCAATCCTACACCGCGCCCCTTTGCTCAGCCTCAACCAAAGACCGAGCCAGTTCTTCCAGCGGTCTGGTTACACGCACTAACAGGATTGGGCTAAAATCTGCGTATTTGGTGTTAGACGCACTATCTATTTCAGCGCTAAAATAACGCGCCATACGCCAACAACCATCACGGACTTCCACCTTGAACTGCCATCGTCCTTGGACACTCGCCTACAGTTTACTTTTCGAATTCCCTGCGATAACATAAAGTATGATGTTTTGTTTGACACCAATGCTGACTCTCAGTACTCTATGTCAAGGAGGCACCAACTCGGACCCAGCTTCGTTCGACCATCACCGTCACTCTATGCTAAACAAACCGAATCCTCCTAGGTTTAGGCTGACGATATGACATCGTTACCGTTACTTCAGTTCGCGCAAAGGAAACCCTCGGACTTGCCAGTCTACCTCTCATTTTTGACAATCATGATTCCGCCCGCTTTCGTTGAAGCCAAGGTACCCCAGATTGAGGCTGATCATGATCTTCAATGGCGCAGCGGCTCGGATCGCCAGGAAGGATCAATCCGGGCATCACCGATGAAGCTCTTGACAAACATCAATCCTGCCGCGAGGCACAGATCGTTTGAAACCGTCGTCTGGCCTTGGAAAATAATAGGCACCGACTTGTGTACTTTCGCGAGCTCCCGCGAGAACGGAAACAGATCGTCAAGACGTCAAGACATCAAGCGCGAGGCGGTGTTAAGGGATCGCAAAATGAATGATGGAATGCGAGGTTTAGGTTCCGACATGAGAAGGAAAAGAGAAGGACGGCAAAAGATCGTCAACCGTGAGACGTCGGGCTATGTTTGGTGCCGAAAGATGGGAATCCGAGGTTTAGGTAGACAACATGAAGAGAAAGAGTGGTGATCTTCGACCATCAGGAAAGAGAACACGCCTTCAAGTGAACCGAAGCGATGGAGTTATAAAAACATCACCATTCCTCCGCTTTCAAGGCTTCAAATTAACTCCTCATCATCACCATCACCATCACCATCTCATCTTACTCAATCAAACACCGCCATCTTCCAAATTCACAAGCTCCTCAACAGGCAACACCGCATCTAGCAACTACCACCCAAACCCACCATCAAAATGAAGACCACCGCCTTCATCACCGCCCTCCTCCCCTTCATCACCCCCGTCCTATCTCTCACCATCCCGATCCCAGCTCCAACCCACGACGTCGCTCCCCCCTCGGCTACCCACCCACGCCCTGCCCCTGCCCCACGCGCACCTGCATTCGACACCTCAGCCGACGGCCTCTACCGCGTCACCGTTGATTCTGAGGGCAACCCCGTAACGGAATTTACTCCCTACGATGATCTCCTTGTCAACGTGACTTCTACCGAAACCCGGTCTAATTCCGGTCCCGCTGTCGTCGGTGGCCTTGAGAAACGCAGAGAAGATTGTGGACCGGGATCGACGAATGTGAATGATGCGGATGCGGCGAATAAGTGCCTGCTGGACGGGTTTGCGCCGGGGGATGTTCATTTGAATAAACATGCTTGGACTTATGTATGTTTTCTTCTCCTTTTTTCCCTCCTTCGTATTTTCTTCCCTCGCTCTCTTGGCTTTCCTTTCCAACTTCCACCTCCTAGCCCTTTCCGTTATTTCCATTTATCCTATTCCTTCCATTTCCTATCCGTTTCCCTTCCCTTCTCTTTCTCCTTCCCTCCGTTCCCTTCCCCTCATTCCTTCCCTCCTTCCCTCCACCCCCCCATCCCTCTACTTGGTAGGCATAGCTAACTAACAAATAAAAACAGTGCGTCCGCAACGAAGTAGTCTCCTTCATCTGCCCCTACTCCTCCAACGGCTACAAGCCGCGCGACGCCATCCAAGCCACCATGTACTACGTCAAGCAAAAGTGTGGACCTTCCACGATGGGCTACGCGCAGGTATCGGGCGGCATGGGCGATTGGACTACGGGTTATGCGAGGAGGAGCGATCATTTTTGTGATAAGGTTTTTTTATTGGGAACTAGACTATCTCTACAGTAAGGAGTCCAGTAGGTTAGGAGAGAGAGGAGGGAGGATCGTGTGTAAGAGCGAAGCGCAAAAGGAGGAGGGAGAAGGGTGTACGAAAGAATGGCGTGAGAGGATTGGAGGATGTACAAGGGCTTCTTAGTTTTGTTTCGTCTTTGTAAGAACCGTCGAGCTGGACTCGATGGGAGAGAACACCGTCGTTACCGTCTCAACAACTATTACAGAAAACAACAGAGTGCACTTACTATACTATTCGCGTCACGATCTCGCGACATCAAGAAAGGATGTGGACGAACGGGCACTAGAAAAACCATCATTTCATCCATGCTGTCTAAGTCTTAGGTTTACAACTCGACTTCCTATGGTGGTGTCTCGACTCGGCCGGAGGAGAACATCACAGACCTTTCCCAAAGGCTAAGCTACAAATGAAGAACAGAAACCACCCCTTGACCATTAACAAACATTTAACCATTCGCGATATCTCTTTACCTGACACATACCAACGTTAAACGCCGCTCGCCTTTGGTCAGATCGATGCATCATCCCGCTGCTCTCTCCGCCGCCACCCATTTTCGTGGCACTAGCGTATAATAGCGACATCTTACAACCGGCAATAGCTCCTCACATGGTGTGTCGAAGCTATTGCCAGTTCTTGACGAGTGACTGAACCTTCTCGCCCGATCCCCCACCACCTACTTTCTTGAAACAACCTCCCGGACACGAGCAATTCGACAAACACTCGCTTGATGCCTGTCAAAAGATGTCCGATATCCAATATTCCCGCCACAATTGGCCGTTTGATGCTATTTCATTACGGCACATGACGTTTGATGGAGCACCAACTCCTAAAACAATACTAAAATTAAGGAGGGCGCGTGGATAACCTTGGATCTGATGCCATTCAAGGACCTAGGCTTCTTGGCCCTCTAGAAGATGGTTGATCTCCTTCCTCGAATCGGCGCAAGGACGGAACAGACTTTGGGGAGCGCAGGGGAGGGTAAGGGTGAGTATTGCCCTCAACAGGACGAACGGTAGGGGTTTGCACAGCCAGCCGGGGACTATTAGGTGGAGGAGGCGATCCGCCCATGGGAGGAGCTGTAGGATGGGCAATGTTGTCGCCCTCGGCTCTCTCGGCGGTCTCGGCTGTTGGAGAAGCGTCGGACACAACAGGACTTCCATCATTGTGTTACGATCCAATCATGGAGACTAGACTAGCCGACCAATCAGATCGGACCCGAAGGGAGGACCCGAAGCCCCGGGTCCTAAGCCCGGGTCCACGGGTCCAGTATATCGGGTCCATGAAGACCGGTATAAAAGAAGGCCTTCCCCGGCCTCTTGTTACCGGTTCTTCAGCAAGCAATAGCTATCACAATCTACCAGTACCTTTTGGCTACTACACTGTTACTCTATTGTTCTATCCCAGCGATAATACTCCTGTGCTTGTAACGGTTCGTCACACATTGTTCTTGTTGTATGTGACCTCCCTGTTGTGGTATGTGACGTCGGTAAGCGGGATTATTCGGAAATGGACGCTCGGTCGCCATTTGTTGCTGTCCTTGGCTTTGAGACCTGGCTCCTGGTACATTTCGTCGACCTCCTCTAGAGACAGACCCTTTGTCTCATACATGAACAAGTAGACAAAGAGGACGCAGATGAGGCAGGCGGCGCCCCAGATGAAGAAGATCTTGGACTGAAGGTTAGCATATCCGGGACCATAGTTGACGAGGTATGGAGTCGAGTAAGCAATGGCCCAGTTGAACGCCCACTGTTAGTGGATCGGAAAGTTAGCAATGTGAGTCTGCCGACGATGACACAAAACGACAAGCATTGGGAGAATTAACTTCCGTTTGTAGCTGCGCTGATGCTCAACATCTGCGACCGGTGCTTCAACGGGTACAACTCCGAAGTTACCACCCACGCCAAGGGGCCCCACGTTGCTGCGAAGCAGGCGATGAACAAACACACAAAAGCAACTGAAGCCTTTTGGCCAGCAACGTTGAGCACGGTGATGACCCCAGAGGCAGTCTGGCCTGTTGTCGTTGTGCCGAGCGTAGCGACAAGAGATTGGCATATGCACATGCCTACACCACCCCACAAGAGCAGCGGGCGGCGACCCGACTTGTCGAAAACGAGGGCGGCAGGAATAGTCGAGAGAACATTGACCATGGCTAGAATCATACTGATCAGGAACGCGCTGGAAATTCCCGAGTTCTCGAAGAACTGAGTCCCGTAGCAGAAGATGAAGTTTACGCCTAGATCAATTTGAGTCAGAAGTTGTCATGTGGAACTCAGGCAAAAGGTGGATGGGCCGATGGGAAGACGAGCCAGTAAGTTGCTGCAGGATCTGAAGTGCCATGCCTGTGAGCATCCTCTTCAGCATAACCTTCCCGAAGCAGTCTTTGTAGCTGCTGCCGCCGAGTGACATCTCGTATATGTAGTTTGCACGAATCTCTTCCATCTCCTTGATGACGGCGGGATCATTGGACCTCAGCCGGCGAAGTCTGGCCAAAGCTCGGTGGCACCGGGTATATCCCCACGCTTGATGCAGTACCTGGGAGTCTCGGGGAGAAAATGCATTCCGATTATGAGAATGAGCGACAAGAGCCACTGAAGAGCGATGGGAATTCTGTACGAGCCGGTGTTGTTCCGGAGATGAGTGCCGTTTTTGACGATGGCAGCAAGAAGGATGCCGACGGTGATTGCAAGCTGATATGCGCCGACGATCAATCCACGGATCCATTTGGGAGCGGTCTCGGATTGATAGAGGGGGACTATCGAGGGAGATGTGTTAGCATAGCCAGGCCATGTCGGTTGATATGGAGGAAGAAAGACACCAAGGATAGCTGTGATGGAAAGGAAAAGGGATGCATCACTCACCTAAAGCCGAAAGCAAGCCAACTCCAAGGCCGGCAAAGAATCTGCCTGCTGTGAAGAGAGGGATATGGACCAAAAGTATTTGTATCAAGACGCCAATGGCGACAGGGAACCAAACAGATCCCTTTTCATTGGGAGGGCGTTTGAAGAGGGCCATGATTTCAAAAAGGTATGTGCTTGTGCCAGAAACTAAAAGAGACAGTTATGGTAGGAAGAGCAGGAAAGTTCACAAGGAGGCGGGGAAAACCTACTTCATACACCCATGGGCTGCTCGGCTCAGGATTCATGCTTTGTCCATGGTCAACTCTGTCCTTATGCTGCATGGCATAGCCTCAGAATCGTTTTCCTTGGCCAAGGCGTCGGACAATATCTTGGATTTGCATATTGGATGTGGCTCCTAGGTGGGTTAAGAGCCCTCGTGCAAGAGAAATGCAGCTCATCGAGCGGAAGAATCACATGCCCTCAACAGGTTTTCCCGCCCACAGGAAAAATATTACTGGAGTTCAGGGCCGAAAAAACCAAAAGAGGTACCTAGTCGTCGGGCCGGTCCAAAGGGGCACCGGATTTGGCATCGTATCGAAGTGGTCAAGTGTTGAGGATATCATCGAAGTGAAAGGTGGGCAGTTCGGCTGGTTATATATCATTCTTCGGATCGGACACTCGGCGCCAGTGCCACTCCGAGTCGTTGTGGACCGATCGGAGGACTTGGAAGTCGGAAAATGGCCGGTGCAGTCACCGGTGCTGCGATGCTGGTGCGAGCCATCCGGCGTCTCGGTTCCGGACTTCCCCACTGAGCCAAGATATCTTGGTAACAGAAATGTTGACTTTTCTGCGGGAAAGCGGTTAGCGATGCATCTAAGTTGCTACCATCCCTCGGGGCCCTAAAGCAAGAAAAAAGCCACAAGGCGCGTTCCTTTACCTGCATCCTGCTTCACGCATTCTGCACTAAAATCAGGATCTTTGGTCTACGAGGCAGAGGTCGGATCATCTTTTGGTGCCAGGTGTCGGTCAGGTCATGGCATTTGGAAACCGGTCGGAGGCTGGGGCCATTGCGCATCTTTTTAGAGAGTGAGAAATCCCAGCTGAAAGCAGTCGGTATTCTTGTGCCATGCAGGGAGAATGCGAAAGCACCACTTCCACTGTTGCAGAAGAGAATAGTGTGCTCG